AAAAAAAGAAAGAAAAAAAAAATAACGACTCGCTCCCCGAGCCGACCAGGAAACAGAGTTTTATAAAGATAGTCAAACTGTGAAAAACTCATGAATGGAGATAAACAGACAAACAGGCACGGAGGAATCTGAACCTGTGGAGCTTTTTAACCAGGACAGATGTGGGTAAAATTCCGTCGGGTGAGTGACTTTTTTTCTGCATTGTTGTTGAGGGGAGAAATTCCATGCAGTGACGTATGTTTCAGCTGGAGGGAGGGGTTCCCCCGAGCTCGTCGGCGCAGTGTGTAGAAACTATGAAAGGTCTGTGCGAAACCGACTGCCGACCAACCACGTGACCGCGCGTCGACCCGTCGGCGTCGGAGCGAGCATGTTTCCACTTTAAGTGTTAGCTGGAACATGATCACCCAGTAATTATCCAATGGGAGGCGATTAGTATTTGCTTAGTGAAACCCAGATGGCAACCTTTTTATGAATGATACATCTGGTTACACAACATTTAATCTTAATGAGCAAGTTTGCTTAAGGATTTAAAAATAAACATTTAAAAGTCTTAGCACCAGCTTTGACCCTTTCTAATAAAATATAAAACATCGTATAGAGATAAAGGAGCAGACTGACACTTACCAAACGATGTCACATTTCCCTCTTGGTCAAACTTCATCTGTCAAACACAAAAGAAATAAAACTGATTTCCAGAGTTGTAAAGTACTTTGTTACTGTACTTAAGTAGAAATTTTGGTTATTTGTATTTTACTTGAGTATTTATTTTTCAGCCTACTTTTTACTTCTACTCCGTACACAATTATCTGTACTTTCTACTATTTACATTTTTAAATAAGGCAGAAAGCTGTTACTCCTATTTCATTTTGGCTCGTTATTGTTAAAAAATAACATATTATCCTGATAAATTGCACCTCCTGGAAAGAGTGAATTTAACYGTAGTTGGATGAGAAGTATAAATATATACTATTCTGACACCAAACTGTGAATCCATCACAGCTGCATGCCTTTAGAAAAATTAATATATAATTTTAATATTTATGTACAAAAAAACATCAGAAACTTTCAAACTTTTACTCAAGTAATATTCTTGGAGGAGACTTGAACTTTTACCAAAGTAATTTCATGATAAGATATTAGTACTTTTACTCAAGTATCACTTTGAGGTACTTTATACAACACTGCTGATTTCTGTCATTTAGCAACCGAAGTCTGAATACATCAGCTTCAATGGATTTCACTTCTCACTGTGTGAAAAGTACAAAAGCTTTGTGAAATTTACCAGTCTGCAAAGGTTTCTCATATTACACCATAGAATATAGTTCATAAACAACAGAATCTGTAAAAACCTCACCACTAAAAARACTGGAGACACACTGGAAAGAGGAGCATCTGTCCCTCTTCTGCGGATTATGGACACTGTAAAAAAAATAAAGAATTCAATGAAGAAAACAGAACAAAAACACTGCAAACCGAATAAAATAAAGGTTCATTTATTCTTCATGCAGCTTTAATGCCTTCAATCAACACTTTGTTTACTTTTCTTCTTTGGTTAGACGTACACTCACCAGCCA